CTCCCCTTTCCTAATTTCATTCCCTCCTATCTCATTCCACCCTTTATCTTCCCCACGAGTTACAAAATCAAGCTCACCCCATCCAGGCGGCCGTTTCGAAGGTCCTCATCTCCGGGGCACCATTCTGCCCGGCGGCGGCGACTGGGAAACCATTCAAAACACTCCTTCCGAATCTCTCCAAACAGCTCATCTTGATACCCGCTATAATCTTCTAACTCATGATAACCACTGTATCTACCTGCGTACAACTGGTGTACGCACTGGTCCCCGAGATGTTCTAGAGGCACTTGGGGAAGAAGACAAGCATACTGCTCATGACTATAAGATGCGGTTGAATCTCACATTTGAATGCGATGATGCGGGGAAGTACGGGTGGTTGAATCGGGTTGTGGGGATTGCTAGTAGTGGGAGAAATGGAGGGAGGGTGATTTATGATGCTTTTGGGGTTTTGTAAGGGAAAGGAGGGAATTTGAAGAGGAGAGGATGCCTGGTATGGAGAGGCATTGTATATATATTTGTATGATTGTAAATTATGAGTGTGATGATTGTTTGAAGGAAATCGCTCGCATAATTGGGAGGTTCTGATGTCGATCATAAAATGAAACACAACCACTAAGAATAGTCGATGATAGATCAAAAGCACGCTCGTATAAAAAATCCAAGACACTTGTTTTGCAACATAACTCTTAAAGCCAAACAATCCTCCGAATAATCTTCACACCGTATAAAACGACCCATAACCAGAGTGATCCCATTGCTCCACTCTGCACCTCTACCCAAGAAATCCCATGACAAACCCAGCCCACACCAAATCAGCTCATTCTAACATCTCACTCAACTCATCCCGGAAGCCGAAGTTCGAATGGAACTAGAGGACGGCTCCGACCTGGATACATTCGTTGATGTAGAAGATTCCTCGGTATCCATGGCCTCCATATGTTCCATACTTCCGGTTTCTCCTTCTTTTCCTTTCCCCTTATCTTGCCCAATGCTAGTGGGCTGGGTACTGTTTGATTCATGTGCAGAAGTATTGCCATGTGTATTCGAATCCGTCATATGCGTATCGATGTTCCCCTCATTACTTCCATCACTCCCATTCGAACCCACACTTCCCTCTCTTTCACCTCCTCCATTTCTTTCATACTCACTCCAATCACTTTCACTCCCACTCCATTGCTCACTCTCCCCATCAACCAACCTCAAAACTTCCTCCACGACCAAAAAATCTCTCTCTAGCACCTCCGCCCAATTTTGCACATTTCCCAATTCCTTCACCTTCCTCTGTCCCTCCCTAACAACTTTCTCCAATTTATCCCCCTCTTTCCCTAGCTTTCCTATCTCCTTCTTCAAATCGTTTTCCTGTTTCGTCAATGCGCTGCTATTTTGATGGAGATTTTGCGCTCGAAGTTTCAGCGCATGTTCGTGAGGCGTGAAGATGTTTTGGATAGATGCATTGAGAGCAGTGCGCGCTTCAGCTATTTGACGGGTAGTTTCTGGAGAGGGAGGCAATGGTGGAAGAGAGGAGGTAGAGGGGTTGCTTTGAGCATGGGAGTGAGTAGATGTGGAGGCTGAAGCGGATACTGAGTGGGAGCGCGAATGTGAAGATGCAGAAGAGGGACCGGGAACATCGGGAAGTGGTGGTGCGAGAGAGGAGATGGGCATTATTATGTAAAGAATTGGTATATGTGAGGGATTGTCGAGATAATGCGATTGAGGATCTGATGCCGAGAATGAAGATAGGCGGTGTATTGTAATCTTACAATACCAAGCAGTAGATTAGTGCCTTTATTACTTATCAGATGTTTTATTGAACGACAAAATTATAGAGCACGACTCATATATGCAACGAAGAGGAATAGTATGAATTCATTCCTGGCAGGTTGGAGAAGGCCATTGAGAGTAGAAAGATCACGAGGTTGATAAGAAATGCGGGGAGGAGCATGGGTTACATGTGGTTACACAAGGGTCTTGCAGCCAATTCAGGTCCAGGTCGATCATTTTGATTTCCCCAGCTTTTGTTAATATCGAAAAGATTATCTCGAATGTTGGATAGATTTTGGTTAGTAAAATGATTTAAAATTGGCATGTGGACGAGGAAAGATGTCAAAATAGAATCATTGAGGATGAGTTCACACAATTCACGATTGCATAGACATTCAAATGCTTCATTGTACGAGCAAATGGCAAAGGGGGTATTCTTATTGCTTTAGAATTCATCATAGCCTATTGTAGAGAACCATTTTTCGCATGATTCCATATCAGGAACTCCATGCCATGAATCCCAATGAAATACAACCCATCCCAAATCCCATAGAAGATGATTTACTTTCTCAATTGGCGTTGGTAGAAAGCCAACTCCTCACCCTCCAAAATGTATCCATCAACACGTCCAGATTGTCCAGGTCTGGATGAGACTGCGGCGTAAAGACGACCAGCCTCGAATTGCTTCTCCAAAGCGGGGTCAACCTTTCCTTGGGCAGCGAATCTCTCGTGGTGCTTCTTCTCAACGGACTTGCTCTTCTTGGTGTCTGGCTCCTCGATAGCTTGACCGGCCTTTTGTTGACGTCTACGTCCCAAGTTTTGACCGTAGTGTGCCTCGTACCATTGTCTGAATGGTGCAGCATCGACTTGAACAATGGCGGATCTGGTGAGGGTGTTGGTTCGGACCAACTCGTTGTTGGAAGGATGGAAAGCGACAACGATCACACGGACCTTGCGGGCAATACCCTCAGAGGCCCATGAGAAGTTACCGGCTTCGAGACGGAGAGCACGGAATTTGCGGTTACCACCACGGGTACGGACGAGATGGATTCTCTTGGTTCCGATACGGGTACCTGCTTCTTGTCTTCCGGCTTCGAAAGCGCGCTTCTTCCCTGTAAAAGTCTTAGTTTTCAGGTTGGAACATATATCAATCAAGATATATGGGCTATCTACTACGCACGGTAATGGGATCGCTTGGCGCCAGAGGCGGAGCGTTTATGTCTGCTGTCACGGCTGATACCCATGATTGCTAATTCTGTGGTATTAATATTATTAGCCAAAGTTGAACATATTTGTAGATGATTTTGTTCTCAATGCAAGTGTTTGAAATGTCTTATCGAGAAATCGAATGCGCAACCAGCTATGCGATGGCAAAAATGTCTGGAGAGATGTGCGAAAGAAGTATTGATATGTGATATGGTGTGCAGTCGATTGGAGAAGGGTTTTGACTCCATCTGAATTATCCACTGTGCAATCATTCCCAATCTTTTTGTTCTTTTTTGCTCGACAGCCCTCCGTTCCCGCATATTCTGGTTTCGATTTTGTTCTCGATATTCGATCGTAATACAAATAGCAGTTGAGACGTTGGTAAAGTACTGACCTGATGGATTCGAATTACAATCGTTGTCGTCGAAGAATTTGTCGTGAGAGTTTGAAGAATTTCGAATCGAACTTTTGCAAAAATGAAAACGGTGCGAGAAGCTAGTGTGAAGGCTAAGATTAAGCGAATTCTTTGTCTTCCAGGATTAATATCACGTGATTATTCCTCGAGCTTGGCCCCTCCATTATTTTCCGACCCAACACACTCGTCTTTTTCACTCCTTGAAAATGAGAACGACACCAAGTCTGATATTGTACTCAGAACTCACGATGAGCAACAATTGAAGTCATAGTTAATGGCAGTTCAGGCGTATTATTAACATATTAATATCCTACTCACTCCCCGGGAAATCTTTTATGGTATGATCGAGTTGACAATATGGATTCATCTGCATTACTACATAGCATACCAGATATGTTTTTAAACTTGCTAACAGATGTTAGCTGGTATACTATCCTTTTCGTGGGTCTTTATGCCCCTGCTTATCCTTCCTCCATACTCATACTAAATCGTGATGATGCAAACGAACAGGCCATCCAATGGATGGAGAGACCCACCTGTATCTTTAATCCAAGTATCTGTTCAGAACGTCTTACAAGACAACCTGAGCACCAGGAGAAGGAGACGATCACTTGTTCGGTCAATCTTGGACAATTTGCCCCTCGCCTAGTCTGATGAAAGATATATTGCCCGTGCTTAATTCTTCTCTACGACACATGGTTTGACGATTCCAGTTTTAAAGGTCTTGATTACTAGTTGTGCATCAAATTCATAAGATGAGATTCTCTCCCTTAGAAGGATCCGACTGCTGTGGACGTTCACCCCTCCTCGATCGATCAGAGCTACGAGGGGTAAAAACAGAAGCGTTGTGTGGATCTTACTTGCTGAAGGCGTACAGATAGGGAATACCCTAATCTATACAGGTGTGGAGGTAAGGATTAGTACGACCATTGCTTGGAGAGTATGTTGGCGGGGATCGAGTGGCTGTTAGAGTATGGTGCAGATATAGGGCAATGAATGCGCACGAGAAGATGCTGGTGAGTGTCTGAACAGGCAATGCTTTGTTCGAGCCGTTGAACAGCGGTTGTCTTGCTTGAGGTGAGGATGGAAAAGACGAAATTGTGAAGAAGATGAATGATGAGTCTGCAATGGACTTTATCCTTATCACCATCTAAGGTTCAGTTGACTTTTTTGTCTTAAAAAATGTACAAAAAGATAGCATACAATGGTGCCTCAATTACTTTTTTCAACACTCAATGGAGGTATCGAAAGTACAATACTAGGTTGTTCAATATCAATTCAATACGATATACCGAGAATGGAATTACCTTTCACTCCCTTCAACTTCACTCCTGGCTTCACATTTCACTGTCATCATAATCGCCGTGCTAGTCCCTGAATTACATAGAGTTCGACTTTCATTGCTTATTTCCAGATATTTTGTTGAGTTGTATCAGACTTGTTGTGTTACTACGGTATCGAGTTATTCTAATACACCCCCCTGTCTACGACAAGAGCCCCCATTGGTCTCACAATGAGGGGTAAAATGGATGTAACCTCCCATCACACTTTCGCGCTCGAAAGTTAATTGACAACACTTTCATTCCATAACAAGTCTCCATAGTCACTCAATTTCAAGATGGCCGAAGTCTACAAGTTGCCTGGTCATAGAGTCGACGTCAAGCTCCGTGTCTTCGATCATGAGATTCATTGCCATTCATTGATGCTGAAGCTTGGTTCGGCTTATTTCAGAAGATTCCTCGACTCAGCAGACAAAACCCCAGCTCCTGCGAATGCAACTTTCAGATACGAATATGTTACCATTCAAGATGCCCCTGAAGATGTTCCAAGCCTTGAAGTCGCATCCAAGGTTAGTTCTCTTGATCGCTACGAGTTGAACAAATTCTCGAATTCTACATCTCACATTTGACTTAAGGCTAATTGAACCACTCTCAGGTTGAGGGCAGAGGTGATAAGCCTGTCGACACTGAATCCGATCATTGGTACATTGCTGTTAAACATTTGACTGATTGTATATACGGGAAGTCCTTCACACTCGCCAGTTTCGATGATATCAACTTTTTGGCCAAGGTTGCAGATTTTTATGGTGCGCTGCCAGTCGTTTCAAGGACATTGGATACAGTGTTTTTCCGAAGCCCGAACTTCATCGAGCGAATACCCGAGAATGCTGGTTCTCTTTTGAAGATTGCCTGCCAACTCAGAAATCAAACTCTGTACAAGGAATGCATGATTCATGTTGCTGGTCGGTGGAAAAGCAACCCTTGCATACCAGCAGATGATATGGATCTTCGTATCCGAGTTCTCGTTGCATATGGAAGCGTTTGTGACAAGCTTGTCACAGCAAATCAAAATTTGATCAGATTGGTTGCAGATGGGTATATGGATAAAAAGGTCCATGAAGAGCTACGTTCTATGGCGCTCAACTATAGCTGGTCGCTAGCCCTTTACTATCGACAATTTTACGATAAACACTACAGTCATGATATCGATCAGGTTCTGACTAAAATATTGACTAGCAATCTAATCCTTGATCCTTCTAAGCTTGGAGCAGGCCAAGGAAAGTTCCAAAATTATTTCCTTTGCGCGGAAATCACAGACAAGGAACTCCCATGGGATAGGGAGGAAGAAGACTGGTAGAGCTTCGGATTCCAGTTGTCGCAATCGGCTGTCAAGCTTATAACTTTCATGGTTCCCGGATTCCAGTGTCAGATGAGAATTTTCAAAGCTCGGTATGGCTTGTACCATGATATTTCAATTGGTAAGTCGATTGCACCTGTTCCCTCAATCTCAACATCCGAACTTTGAAAGCCAAAGTGCCTGTACGCTCAACTGATACACGTTAGTGTCTTTCTCCAACATTTTTATGCAGTAGTTCACGAATGCAGGTTAGTTACTCACATGTTGCAACGAGAGGATGGAAGTGGTATCTAGGCTGGTGATTTCTCATGAGAGTTTTGCGAATGTAGTTTGGGGCTCTCGACAGACAATGTCTTACAATTGCAAAACAATTTCGATGATGTTACACGGTTCAAGACATTTTCTGCTAGTGGTAGAGTGAATTAATCTCCAAGCGTTGTGAATTCTATGTGCTGTGACTGGTATATCCGATATAAGAAAGTATGCCCTTCATTTTTTTTTACCGTGTTACAAGAAACCCCAAGCTCAACAACTTCATGATTCTACACCATATGATCGTTATCGACCCTCAAAAAGGAGATTTGACAAAGGCCAAAGTTATATCGTCCTACCAATAGACTTCACACATACACCAATGTCATCATAATACTAGTATCATAAATTATCAAGATAGCAGGTCCATCCATTGACCCTGTGAACAAAACGATACAAAATGTCTTAGGGCTCCAAACATCTATCTTTCCTCTACTTCCCGAGCCCGTTCAATTACGCATCATCTATTCCCCAGAGCTTCTCTTTACACACAAAGCGAAAATCTAGATGATTGGCTATCTCTGCGGTTGGCGGTCTCGTCTTCTCGAATAATAACTTCTGATGCCCACTAAGAAACATTTAATATTTATCCCACAATACTTCCTGTTACCTTTTGAGATGCATACTAACTTTTCTTTACTTTAGTGTCGTGGGATTGATGTACAATTCACGGGGTTTAAAAAATTGATCTTCAGGGGAGATCCCTCTCTACAATGCCAGCTGTGATCACCACCCGCGACTTTTTGAACCAGGCACACTCCATCGCCTGTCGCAACACAGATTTCCCTTTTGACGCCTACAGCTCCGTCTCTGCAGGATAAAACTGCAGCATTATCGCCGCAATCAAATATGTGAATGATAACAATTGCCACGTATAGCTTAAAAAACTTGTAGTAATCTTTCCATGTGGGATTTATGATGGATAAATAGCAAGCGGGAATCCACCAAAATGTCGAGGTGAGTGAAAGTGAAAGTTGACAGGACGGGACTACAAAACCCTGGGAGTGAGGCTGAGGGTGAGTTTGATGGACTGGTAGAGGTTTTAATGGCGATTGAGGGGAGGCACGGGGACTGTTGAGGATGAAACTGGGTTTTCAATGGGGGTTTTCTGAAAAGAAAATGGTTTTGTACTTGATGGAAGTACGTAGCGCGCGTAGATCTAGCTCCTCGCTTGCTTGCATTTAAGTCACGAGCGAGAGCTATCCTCCGAATCACTGTATGGCATCTAACAGAATATACGCGGCAAAAGAACCATCGTAAGATCTCAGTCACCCCGAATTTTACAATATACACAGTCGTCCAAGACTCTGATCAATTCTTACTATGTATTGACTCATGTACAGAAATAATCTGACCAATCAATAAAAAAGTAGCAAGAAATCAAAAACCACACTAGCAGCGAATAATCGCGACAACTGTGTCCAGTTTCTTATTCCCATAACAAAAAAATACGAAAGCACTCCCAAACTCTACGATTTCATCTGCTTATCTGGGCAAGTAACACAGGGCTTAGCCTCAAGAATAACCGAGGTGTAGCGCGTATTTCTGTACGACGTATTGATGACTTCTGTCTCATATTACACGAGATGGATGTACAAGGCTGTGTAACGAACACGAGAAAAATACCGAAAGTCTGATAATATTCTGAAGTGGTGAGATATTGGTCTCTTCAATACTGTCAGCCCCAAGCTCGTTTTTTATGAGCATTGTTGGCAATTATTACGAATGGCAGCGCGGAGATAAGAGTTATCTTCCGAGACTTGCTGCGACGTCGGGTGCACTTACCATTGTTGATTGGCAAATGCATAGCCCTAGATGCCTGATAATATTCTGCCTGCTGAATATCAAGTAAAAGAATTGGCCAGAGTACGAAGATGTAGGATGGTCGTCGGATCTTGATTGCCACACAACTGCCCCTGGAAAAGAAATGAGAAATGTAAGAGTCTAGAATCAGGCGCAAGGTTCTCCGCATTTCGAAATTGCTGATCTAGAAATATAATCATGAATACGCTCGACGCAAAATTGAAGGTCAGATTGTACCTTGGCGGGTAGCATATACTGTTGCCTGAGGGGCATGCGAACATGTTGAACGTATTCCATACTACCCAAGCCTAGAACACTGAAACCTTAGAAATGAGATGTGTGCATAACACGGTTTACGGCAAAGATCGAGATTCCAAATGCATGTGCAGCTTTTGCTACTGTGCTAGCCGTTTTGTAGGATTACATACAGCTCAAGAATATTTCGAATCTAAGCAGCATTCACGAGAGCTTGGCCATTGGGTGCTTCTTTTCAAGACGTGCAACAGTTGGAAACAGACTATACATGTGAATAATACCGTGGATTTAGTTTGGGTGACAGCTGAAGGCTTCTCTTCGTCCTTGCTGCTTGTCGATATAATATGAAGTTACATTCGATAGAATTGTGTGTGGTTCCATCAGGTATATTACACAACTCCTAGTAATTGAACGACGTGACCTTAGCGTATGTTTGCACACTCCTCAAACCTAATGACCAACATTCTATGGTAGGAAATTATCACCACATCGAATCATAAGAGCTGTTAGCGAGCAGGCCAATTCTCGGCCAACTGCAAAGTATTTTTAGATCGGTCCCGGGTCGAATCAAGGTTCATATCCGTGACTGTCTCCTGTTGCATGTCCAACCAAACTATCGGTATCAACGTAATCCTGACAATCATACTGTGTCATCCAATTTCATTTCGCAGCATGCCATCAACATCGAAATTTCATGTGCATCGATCACAAGATTCCAATTTGAAAATCGATGCAGCTGCTGCCTGCTGTCAGTCAGACATGGCCCCTTTTGAATGTGTACATAACGAATGAGATAACATGCAAGGGGTAAGGGGGTGAATGAGGGGAAGGGCAGTCAATACTACCCTAGAGAAAATTCAAAAGAAGGATCCAGAAAATAAAAGCAGACGATTAAGAACTGGATTGAAGAGCAAAAGGTTTCTCATCCAATTCGGACACAAAAATGGGCGCCATTACATACACAAGAAATGATGTTTCGAGACGGTAGCGACAAAGAGAGCACTAGCTTGTAGAAACCGTTATTCTGCTAGGAGTACCTTGAGGTGATAATTTCAAACCCAGATACATCTTCAACCGGATTCCCAGACCAATTTACCCGGAAGCGCTGAAGAAGTGGGGGCCGATTTGGCAACGTGGCCAAGGCGGGAACGAGTACGAAAATCGGAATAGTTGAACCTCTTTAACTAAAAACTCGGTACTCAATAGGTGAACCAGACTACTGGGTCCGCATTCGTGGTCTGATAGTTCCAAACTTGGACACGGAGAGCGAGGATTCACTTTATAAATACATATGACAATTTATCCAGCAGTAATAAAGCTACCACATGAAACGATATGTTGAAAGAGGCCCTCCAAAAGGTTCACTGCTGACAATCACTTCACAAAGCTCCACACGCAATGGAACGTGATTTTCGAGTCATCGGTGATGCCACTCGGATGTAAGGATCAGCTGCGGCGTGAAATTTCAACACACCTGCATTCCACATCCAAATACAGCTATCGGCATGCCGATAGATTCGGGCTCGGATGTCAGCAATGTTACTTTGGTTCCTAGTGGTACAAGATTTTCAAGTGTTGGTTTTTAGTAATCCCTTCAAATTTTGCTCGATTTATTCGAGGTCCTGAATTGGGGGCGGCTGGCATGATTTAACTCAGAGGATGATTGGCTGTGTTGCAATTTTTGTGTTCGTGCTACGGACTCTCATCGCACCCGTTTAAATGCGTGTCGATATGATTTACTGTGGAGCTGGTCATCAACCTATCTCAGTCTGCGCGTAAGAGGCTTATGCAAACTGGTATGCCAATAAGCGAGCATCCCAATGTGAGAATGACTGCATTTGTGCTACCAATGCTAGAATTGCAGATCAGTGATTGTAAATTAAAAGAGTTAGATTGATTTTCCAGACTTTTGGAAGGCAGGGAGATTTCTCGGTCCCGAAATAACTTATCTTTTCTGGCAACCATTTGTCATACCGAAGAGTCGCTTCATGAAGCGTCCATCTCGTGTGTGTTGGGATCTGCTATATTCAGATCTTTATTTTTCCACCTTGAATAGCACAAAATTTGTCGCGTCAGGCGGCAGTGTAGGCAATTAAATCCTACAAAATGGCATACGTGCACACTGAAGAAAGACCACGCGTAAGCTGGCGTATTAAAATTGTTATAGGTGGGAGTTATGGCCCATGTCGATAACACCAAGGGGTGATTCTAAATTTGTGTGGAAGCTTTGGCGTCTGACTGTGCCAAGCATGAGTTTCTCTAACCCGCAAAGTTGTATGCAGAAGCGATCTTGGTCCGTGGTGGATGCTCATACCAAGCTTTAGCGACTGCCACCGACAGATCTGAGACGGGTAAGGCTAATTACCGTTTTCTTTCCCTAAAATCCCAACAGCTAATAATAAGTAGGCGACCGAAGCAACGCCGATAATCTTGAACATACGGATTATATTGTTTACTGTAACTCTCCCCTCCATTTAATCCGCGAATATAATGTTTATATGTCCCCCTTGCAATATACTAAAATGAAACTTTGACGGCTTTTAGGTGGCTGATAAGATAAAAGCAGTAATGTTGGTTTGTTCTATGTGTCATGCTGACAACACCTTCCCCTTCCATCAGGAAATCGATTA